GTGGTCTCTCAGTTTAAACTGTGATCTCAGGAGTATATTTCTGGCTTAACAGCAACCACATCCACCTGCTTTTCACTCTTGAGTTTGAGAGGTGCAGCCAATCAGAAGAGGGCTGGTTTAAAGAGTGCAGAGGGAGCTCAAATGGTGTGTTTTAGACTGCGGATGAAGGCCCAATATAAAAATGTATTGTTTTGTTTTTTTTCACTCATGCAAAAGCTACTCTGGGAGAATCCAACAGTAAAAATGCTGGAGCTGCAAATGAGAATCATAGATGTGCTAAAAAGCGTAACATCCCAAGAAGACCGTATATAAAAATGATATATTCATTATTATTTATTTATATTTGGATATTTATTTTTAAGAGCTTAATAATATACGACAGGTGCTTTCAAAGTATTCCCAAAATAAACATTTGCAACATACCATTTATGGCTTGATTGATACCAGAAGCCCTCGAGTTGCTTCAGTTTGTCATCACACTCTTTCTTCGGGGTGTCAGATGCATGTGAAGTGCCATTCTGACACAATCAAAGAGCAACTTCAGGTCTCTCACAGTGAGCTTATGCAGTTGAAAGCAACAGCTGACATCGTTACGTCATCGCCTATGTGTGTTCATTTTATCTATAAGAAATATTTCTGTATACTTGGATGATTCACATGGAAGACACACTGGTCTACAGCCTAAATGCTTGTGAAATAAATGTAATCACACTTTAGTAATTTGGCTCACTGAAAGTGAAAGTGACACTTAAAACTGGTTGGGTTGGCTCTAGTCTTCATGATATGCCACGAGGTTATGACTAAGACTAAAAGTTATTTGTTGGAACAAAAATGATTGAAGCACATCTTTACTGGTGAATTTTGACAAATAATCTCAGAAGGCCACTTATTTAATCTTCCAATTTTGATTAAGTTTCTATGACTTATAGGTGTCAGGTATGAAATGTGGCAGATTTCAAAGTGTTTATTAGCTCTGTTTGACCTTTGGCCTCAGTTTTGACCTTGGATTTGACCTTTCTAGCAGCAGGACTGTAAAGTTACATTATTTTTTTTTTTGCATCCCCTCTGTTTGTTCCCTGCATATTAAAATAATTGAAAAAAGGTTTGTCATGGAGACATCCATAGACAGACATGTGGCGAAGATGATCAAACCAAAATGTCGACATTTTTTAATATTTGGGCTAACTGATGTAAGCGACTTTTCTCCATGTGACAACATCCCACCTAGGCCCGATATCTTGTCCTTGTCTTTCAAATGTAAAAATAGTGAAAATTGTGGCTAGTCAGCTGTTTTAAATGGTCAAAATAAAGACGTAAACAGCAGGTTTGATCTCCAGAGCAGAAAACTCCAGAGTTAAAATAGAGTGCGTGTGTTCAAATACGTGCATATTTGAACACTGGTGTATTTACAGAACACGCCACTACACGGATTTATCTCTAACTCTGGTATTAGTATGAACAAATAGAGCTGAGTATCCCTTTGCTGAAGCCTGAGCACTTGAGGTAGTGAGAAACTGCTACATCAGTGGAAACAAACATACATTTTTATTAAAATCAAAGTGCCAATTTTCTCCAGTCATTGACTCTGACAACTTTAATCAGTTAAAGGAAGCCAAACGAGCCAATGCAGATGATAAACTCTGCGAGGTAATTGCTCTCTGTGAAACGGCATAAACAAGACTTTTGGGAGTAGTTAGAGCACTGCCTCAGCCTCTGGCTATTTCTCAGATAATAGCTAATGGTTAAACTTGGATTTGGATATTAGGCCAAACCAGAAGAGCCGGCAAGATTTTAGACAAAACTGACTGGGAAAAAAAAGAAAAAGAGCTGGGAAGACTGTAGTAATGTGGAGCGGAGATCAGAAAAGCTCACACACTTCTTAAAATTTTGAATTTGTTATTGTTCTAGGAAGAAAACGCGTCATATCAAAAATTAGCTTATCAGTATTGACCTTCATCCCGATTAGATCCGATCCACTTGTTACCGTGAAGTGTGTCAGAGCGCTTTAACGATGGACGCACACTTACAGGCTCCTTTGCATTGAAGTCAGTTGTCATGTTGTTGATGTGGAAGGCGGCTTCATGCTGTGGTGAGTGATGTGTGCTCTAATAGGCTCTGCTTCACAATATGTCACAGCTTCAATACAAGACGCTCAGCGGTGCCGAGCCGCGGGGAGGGAAGAGGAGCGCGACTCGGCTCTCCATTTATCAGATCTGTCAGATGATGGATAGCATTAGACTATAGGTGGAGGTGACGGTGCTTCATCTCAGTCATCCTTCACGCTGTGGGCACGCAGCACTCGCTGCTCTAACTGTAGCCACCCATTTATTGTCGACTGGGAACGTCACCTGGAAAAACTGCGCATATCATTAAAGATGGTTGACAGTTCCCAACTGATTCCTCGGTTTTGAACAGATGCATTCAGTGTCAAATTATCTAAGGCCCGTGGGTTGTCAATCAGTGCCATTAAAGTAGATGACTCAGTGATCTGTGGCCTTTAAATTCACCAAAGTCAACTAACAGAACTGTTGCATAATGTATTAGTTGTTTACTTCATTCATCAATAAGACAAAGAGCCTGCAGCCCTGCTAACAATTCTGTTAGGCCCGCCATTATTCCTGATGTCAAAGGTGAGATAATAACACTTACATAGGTTGTATAATAAAAATTATATTCAGTTTAGTTTAATGTTTTTGCATGCGAACTAAGGCCTGATACAGATATCAGCTGATGCCAATTTGTTAATTTATTTTTGTTTTTCCTCCCTTTGTGCCAGTGAAGCAAGGAAATCCTCACTATAGAAAAATAACTGACCCGTTTTAACCTCTTTCACCTTTTCATCACATTTACCCGCTAGCAAAATTAAGGTTCAGTGCAGAAATTTGCTCATTACCACAAAGTCTTTCTAAGGTTAATGGGTATGTTTGTTTGTGTTTTTGTTTTGTTTTTTTTACTGATGGTATTGGACAAATAAAATTCTGATCTGAAGATGGCGCTAGATGAAAATCAGGTGATAATATCCTGGCAAGTATTCTGACAGTTGTTAAAGCATTTCACACGACCAAAGTCTGTATTCATTCTATGATTGTACCAGATTTTCTGCCTTGTAGTTTTTGAGAGCCACTATCAAGGCTAAAAATTGCCTTTGAATTTTGAGGATTTGCTGCTTTCCTCTGTTTTCTCTCCAAAGCTATCTACAAAAGTGAAATGTCACTTTTGGGTAAAGGATTTTTTTTTTTTTGGCTCTTTTCCCTGTTGATTAACTATACCGAATAATTGGGGAAGCAGCAAGAAGCCAGGATCTCTGCCAGGAAGCGGTGAAGCTGCTTTGTTGTGACCAATCATTCATTGAAGCCACATTGTGTTGGTGATTTCTGTCCCAGAGCAGAAAGCTAAAATTGCATGTATATTCTAGCTGGCACTCATAATATGAAAATGACATGGCTGTTATGGCAGCCAGTTTTGAGGAACCGCAAACAAACCCAGCAGTAAAGCATTTCCTGCTGCTGTTGGCACCTCACATTCCACACCGGCCCAGCTCGGCCAAGTGGAGCATTAAATTTGACCAATTATCTTGAGGTTGATCAGTGCAGGCTTGTTCATAAAGGCCCAAAGTAAATGGACTGAAACCTCTCATCGGCAGGCACAACCAGCATTGTGAATGTTGCCTAACGATTATTGTGATGCTGATAACACCAAGGAAAATGTGTTTTCTGCCCCTTTCCCTGTTCTCAAGCATTTGTTCTGCGGTTTATTTTTTCCTTCTTTTCCAGCTGATCGTATCTTGCTGTTAAAACCTACACTATGCAGAGTAAAATAGTCCCAGAAGAAATCACAGAGGAGTTGGTATATAGAACATCCTGTTTGTGTCTAACCCAAAAGCCTTATATTTTATCTGTTTGTGCAAATAAATCTGATTTTCCTGTACTGCGAACTGGAAGAAAATCCTCTGCTCATAGGCAGTGAAAAATGAAAGCGAAAGAACAAAAACAATCTTCCTAATAAACAGTGCAGAAACACCGTGCAGAGAAATCTGGAACCAGCAACAATACTTTTTGCTGCTAAAAATAACCACAGACCAGCTGGGTGATAAACAAAAGCCCTGTATATGCAGTTTACTGACTACGTTAAAGACATCTGGGTACTGAAGTTGAACACCACATTTAAACTCGCAAGCTTGCAATGTTTGGTGGTGTTTTAGATTATCAGCTCTCACATATTATTACTTTTTTATTTCACTCCAATGAGCTGCTTGTTCTGCTTTCCATTGACAATTTATCATTTATTGCACTTCAGGACTCGATTTCCCACTAACTTAAAACTAGGGCATCCTTATGTCAGCGTGCCCTCTTAAATCGACAATAAATTTGCCAGTGGTTGGGCAGTAAAAGAGATTAATAATAAAACAAAAGTTTGGGCAACTCCTGTAGACCCAGAAGTGTTTTCATAATCTTTTCCAATGAAGACAGAGCGAGAATTAATTACACAACTTGAAACGAGGAAATTTCTGGGATAGCCAACAGCCCTCAGCCGGCCTTTAGTACTGAAGAGAGCCTTGCTGGCAACCTGTTGCTTTAGCAGAAAGATGAATCTGTGTGTGTGTGTGTGTGTGTGTGTCCATGAGTCTCTGTTAGTGTCTCTTTGAATGTGTGAAAGGGAGGATCTTGGTGTTTGATGGTGTTATTAGCAGTCTGACTGATATACTGGGCTAATAATGGACTTAAATTAAAAATGGGACTGTGGTGTGCTGGTATGTGGTTAACATCTGCTGAAATTAAATGGTGTCTTTTGATTTATTCATAGAGCCATTACTGTTGTTGCTTTCATTTGTCCGATGATGCTTCAAAGGCTTTTCCGCATTCACTGAACATGTCAAAATCTTGATATGGTATTTTTCAGGCACACAGAAGACATGATTACAATTACAGTCAGTCGGCATGCTGGGTTTAATCACAAAATGACAGTTATGTCCTGCTGATACCTGCACTGATCATCTGATGGACATAGCAGGAAGGAGACAAGTTATG